CTGTCTTATGTTGGGGACCCCAGAGCTGGACACAGTACTCCAGGTGGGGTCTCATGAGAGCTGAGTGGAGGGGCAGGATCCCCTCTCTTGACTTGCCGGTCACACTTCTTTTGATGCAGCCCAGGACAGGGGTGGCTTTCTGGGCTGCAAGCACACACTGCTGGCTCATGTTGAGCTTCTCCGCAATCAATACCCCCAAGCCCTTCTCAGGGCTGCTCTCAATCCATTTTCTGCCCAGTCTGCAGTTGTGCTTGGGATTGCACCAACCCACATGCAGGACCTTGCACTTGGCCTTGTTGAACTTCATGTGGTTTGCACGGGCCCACCTCTGCAGCCTGTCAAGGTCCCTCTGGATGGCATCACTTCCCTCCAGTGTGTCGACTGCACCACACAGCTCTGTGCCATCAGCAAACTTGCTGAGGGTGCACTCGATCCCACTGTCCATGTCACTGACAAAGACGTTAAACAGTGCCTGTCTAAATACCAACCCCTGATAGTTCTATGATAGAACTTAAATATGTTAAGTCACAGATATCCAATATACCCTAACACTGACTACATAATCTTGACAGCTTGCCAAGACTATTTTAACAAGCATTTGCCTTCATCCCTTCAAAGTTTTGAGGCAGAACTCTTACTTGACATCAGGTCTTAAGATGTCTGCTGACAAAAGGATCCAGGTAGGAGTGCTTGGCCATGTATTTTATACCCAGCTAGGCCATCTGGAACTATTCCCTGGAATCCCATCAATGAGGCTCCATTTGTCATGGATGCTGTAGTTTGATCATTTTAAGCTACTCCTGACTTTTAACCCTTTGTGATGTGTAAGTGAGAGTTTGACAGGAGTTCAGATAATTTAGCACTGAAGGAATTTCATTGAAAAGCATGTGAGGAAACTAGCAAGGAGCAAGAGCTGAATAACAGTTATAGCTCCCAAAGGGCTGGCAAGATTTCATCTTTAAAAAGTCCTTAGCTTCTTGGTAGAGAGCAGAGAGCTAAGCTGAATCAAAAAGGTTCTGTTCTCACTATGGAAATCATTCTGCTTGCCTTGGCACAAGCACAGTTCAAGTTATCAGCATATGAAATTGGAAACCTATGGTTATTTGAGGTGCAGAATTATGCCTTGCTGTCCACAATATACTTCCTCTTTTCCTTATTTTAGTTACTGGAGGTTTTCCCCCCACTCAGAGAAGGAAGTACAAGTTAAAATTGCTCATTTCATAAGGATAATTTCTTAGATACAGTATCTATCACAATTGCATGTGACTGGGCTCGATGGCCTATGGGTTCCCTACCAGTTGTATGGGAGCTCCCCTGTAGAGCATCTCTGTCATGCAGAAGGAATGAAGGCTGTTACAGGGAAAACCTGGTATCCTACTGCAGCAGTAGAAGGTGCTCCAAAGCTGCTGGTGATATCTTCCTTTGTGCAAGTACAAAATAGAGACCTGGCCCACCTCCTGTAGTTAGGCACACCTGTCTTGCAAACGTCTGTATTTGCGTAGAACAGTGATCTTTATGCACAACTAGAGGTTGTATTCTTTAATGCGACTAGAAAAAACAAAATACCTTTCAATAGCAGCACACATGGAAATTACTAGCAAGTTTAAATTTGAATGTGATAGCTAAAAGAATATTCCTACTTCACAGGATTCATAGGAGCATTAGTAGTTCAAAACTAAAACTTGCAGTTGCCAATCAATCCCAGGCTATTAGGTGCTGCTCTTATCTCTTTGCCTCTTACAGGTTAAGAGGAAAAAGGAAAGGAGAATGCAAGTAGTTTCAGCTAAACATTTCAATTGTGTCAGAGAGCAGAAAGGAAAGTATACTTTACCTGAGCTTAAGAAAAAAGTCTTTAGTTACTTCTTTGGGACTCTGCAATCACAATATATAGTGGAGTGTATAGTTTGGCAATCAACATTTTCTCCACTTCCAGAAACACTTTTGCCTATGGATGTACCACATTTCAGATCCCATGTTTTAAGTGACTGAACAGTGCCAGCTTATATGCCAATATCAGCCATAGAGTTGCTTATCTAAGCCACTCTGCTCAAGTGATGAAAGCAAAAGCCGGACTCCCACCCTATCACTTCTTATTGTGATACTCCAAAATGCATCACTTGAAAGAACAGTCCAACTGCTTCTTGGGCCCTGGGAAGAAAGCAAAGCTTCTTGATTTCTAGCACTCAGAAAGCAGCATGCTTCAAAGGCCTTTTTCTAAGCTACAGGAGAGAAGCTGCCATAAAACAACCCAGCAGTGAGAAGAGAAAAAAAAAAAAAAAAAGAGTCATACAAGCAAGCTGTTTTTCCAATGAGAAACTGTTTAAGAGAGCAATATTTGAGGTCATGTTCATAATTCACCTAAACTATAAAGTTCGTCAATACATTGAAAAGGGATTTCCATTTTAGAACAAGTAATTCTGAAAAAGATACATTTATATAATAGTAAAAAAGTCTTCCTAAACAGAAGTCAGGTTTAAATGTATGGCTATTTATCCTTCCACAGGAATTTTAATGAATTTCTCCTGTCACTTTAAGCAATTGCTAAAAACATCTGTGCCATCTGCCCTCTGAGTCAATTGTGTCTCAGAAAATGCACTCAACTGGATTTTCACTTCAATGCAGAAGCAAACTATTTGTGTAACAAGACACCAGTATTCCCAAAAAAAGTTGCAACTTCATCTTTAGACTATGCCGAAGGGGAGTTGAACTAAGAAACAATGTTCTCACTTTTAAGTAGATTTGTAACAGCAAACAGGCAAAAAAGAGGCCATGTAAACCCTTGTATGCATTCTGTCTTCTTAATCAGCACAGCACAGAGAGGCTGTGGATGTCTGAAAAGGGACTAGACATCTAACATGCACCACACTTTTCCCCACTCCACATTCCTATCACTCTAAGGTATCTCAGGTCCTCACTGACACAGGTAGCAAGAAAGATCTCTTCTTTCAGGATCTGATTTTGCATTTCCATGCTTCTGTTTTGCAGACACGCATTTCGGCCCTTTTTCAGTGACGTCGCTGGCTCCTTTGCCTTCTTTCATTGATAATTTGGTCAGTTCTCACACCTGCCGCCTAAACACAGGCTCAGATACCCATGCTCACATGGATGCACAATTTCAATCAGATTATCTCACAGAGCATGGTACTAAACTCAAGGGTCTAAGAATCCAATTTCTCATGAGGTAGGACTCCCATTCCTCCCCTCAAAGGCATTTGAAATCCACCTACCTTTGCACCGGCCACGATGTGTCACACTCAGACTTGACTCCCGGCATTTGGCTCTCTGATAGTCGCACATTGACTCATATGTTCTGCCGTCAGAGGCACAGAGGGGTTTGGACTGGGACCTGGAGCAATGCAGGTTACACTGAGGGTCTCTGTCACGGTCGCTTATTAAAAACTGAAGGAAGTGAAAAAAGGAGGAAGGGAGAAAAAAAATATTGGTTTTGTTTTGTTTTCCAAAACAGAGCATGGTGTGTTTTGTTTTTATGACAATAGCAGTATGGTCTGTAATGCAGTTTAAGCTGCCTACCAAAGCTGACTTTGCCTGAAGGGAACTTAAAATGAAACACGTACATCTTTTAAAAAAATTAAGGGTCTTTGCCATTCCATTTTCTTTAATGGAACGGAAACATTAGTCACTCTGCCTCACCTCTGAAAACATAAGATGTGCAAAGCCAAACACAACCCACACGGGAAGGGCAATACTGAGTCACAACAGCCCAGCTTGCCCAGTGCCCTGCCACAAACAGTATCCGGTACTAGACAATTTTAGTCAGAGGTGCAAGAAACTTATCACTGAGGATGGAGGAACCCGAATAACCTATCAAGATTGGCCTTGGTAGTTGAACCATGGATGTGGCCAGTTTTATATCACCAGTTATTTGTTTTTTTTAAAGGATTACTTAAGTCATCTGTGGATACCACCTGCAACAGCATACCCGCACACACCCAAAGCCACATCTTGTTCCTTCCCAATGACATCCAGCCCAGCCGGTAATTGCATTCCATGCATCCCACAATCTAATTGCACACTATGTGAAAAGTCATTTCTTGTCATCTTTCTGAATACCTCTTCCCAAGCATTCAGTTCGGATGCAGCTTATTTTGTATAAACATGACACTCCTTTCTTGTCAACCTCTCAATGCAAACAACCCCAGTCTCCCAATTCCTTGCCCAGATTACTTCCTCTGTACCACAATCCCTGCTGTTTTGCTTCTCTGAAGACAGCTTAACTTTTGCCTGATCTTTTGGAGATGGGGAAACCCACAATGCACACGAACGAGTCACCATTTTCTGTCCACTTGTTCCCTGCAAATCCCAACATCTGGCAGCAGTTTATTGTTGTACCCTTCAGCTGTACTTTGAACTGCCTATAGGCATACCCAGGTCTCTTTTCCAAGTTCATACTGTCTTCCTGATGACCCTGACTGCCAGTCCTCGTTCTATAACGATCGGAAG